TGGATCTAGAGCCCAGGCTCTTGAAAACATCGACAAGAAAAAGTACTCTTGATTCAATCAGAATCTAGCTGAAATCAAGAACCAAGCCTCTTAATTAAAGCGGATTTCGTTTTGATTCAAGCAAAAATCCGATTGAATCATGAGTATTTTTTCTTGTCAATGTTTTCAAGAGTCTGGACTCTAGATCCAATGTGTATTTTTTCCAGTGCTCCATCACATGCTTTTCCACGTTTTTCCCGCCTTTTCTCGAACTTGCAGCCTGGCACTAACCTCACCTAACCAACGATGACCACCCGTGCTGTGACCACCAAGCTCATCGGCCACCCAGCGATGACTCATTTCACGAAAGTATCCAATTCTAACGGGGACATTGACAATGTCGCGGAATATGGAGACTCCTCGATCCAGGCCCGATCAAATTTCATGTTCCGTCGCGACGCCAACATTATAAACGCGCGACCGCGCGATGGCGGAACGGGTTTGATGCCCCGCCTGGACCAGTTTATCGACGAGACGAATATTTACTCAACGCAATGAATCAGCGGACAAACAATGAGCCGTTTACATGCCGACAAGAGTGCGTCCATGACTCATGCCGAGCGGAGTGGCGGCAGATGTCTGAGAAAGTATTATTGGAGCGAGTGGCGGCAGCGCAAAACTGCATGAGTATTTACAGCCGGCTCGTAAAAGCGCCTGGCGGTGGCACTCGACACGACTTCCAGGATAGCTTCAGCCAGAGATTAAAGTTCAGAAGATCTTTGCACACTTGCTGACGCCTACATCGGAGGCAAATAAAGAGAATTTGTGCTAGGCCTTGTCTCCATCGGACGTTTTCATGAGATTTGTACCAGGGGAAAATCCCAATTTCCAGAGGACCTGTATACAGAAAAATATTGTCATCGGCTGTACTCGAATCGGGCCCGGGGTGGAAGGTCATCACCTGGTCATCACTGGTAGCAACACGAATAATTGGGTCCGGGGTGATCAATGCTCTAATATGAATTGGATCCATAAACTGCACGATGAGCGATTCGATTCGGCTCACTGTGATCTCAATCATTTTACTACAGAAAAAGTGTGTCATTCTCTGATTGGTCGGCTATCATGGAGCTCCAAAATTGGTCCAATGTAAACAAACCCCGGTCCCTCGACTCCTAGTTTGGCCCAATGTACATACCCTAAAAATGTCAAGCAGTATTTTCTTGAAGAAATAAAAAGGCGAGAATTTCCGAACACCGAGATCGAAATCTATGATTTGATGGTTTGACCATCTAAATGTAAAGCAGCAGGTATGATTGAACATCCTACTGCAAAATGCAAGTCGGAACTACAATTGGACCACATTTTGTGTTTAGGAACTACAAATTCTGTCTCATTTTAGGAACAACATAAGTACCATCAGTTTCCCCATGCACATGAGTGTTTTCACGGTTGAGCAAGAAATTATAGTTCCTAATTGCGAAATGTAGTCCAATTTCTGGCTCATTCTTAAGAACTCTAACGTAACTCAGGAAACTAATGGTACATACGTTGTTTCTAACCTGAGCCAGAAATCATAGTTCTGAATCGTAAAATGTAGTCCATGGTGTCTAGTTTTCTTGGTAAAGCTCATTCCCTGATTTTTCCCTGAGTTTCCCTGATTTTCAGGAGCTCATTCCCTGATGAGAAACCGAAGTTTTCTTCCGCTTTTCCGGGATATTCTTGGGGAAAAGAATATTATTTTCCAGAGTTTCAGATAAGAATAACGATTTTAATTAATCTTTCAGCCATTTCTTTGGCGCACATTCAAAATTTTAATTCAAAAAATGTTCCTGGGTGTTCCGAAATGATCCCTGGGTGGTTGGAGAAGAGATTCCTGGTTTCTGGAACAGATTCCCTGATTTTCCCGGTAAATTTTCATTCCCTAATGAATCCCGGTTTTCCCCGGTTTTTTAAAAACTAGACACCATGATGTAGTCCTATTCTCCGGTAGAAAAACAGATCAAGTGACGGACAGTTCAATTTTCGTGGATACAAGAGCATTATCCCTGTTCATAATGGATGCAGAAACTCGTCTGTTTCGACAGATGTATTATGTTTTGGCGGGCTACGACTAATTGTAAGAGCTGCAACTGTGGAAACATGATTTCATGCCACGCGCAGCAGACCCAATGAAAGTCGAGAAAAATATGAGGAAATATCCGAAGACGCACAGTGGATCGAGTCAATTAGAGGGGTCGGACATGAAATTATTTACTAAAACTGTAAATTTTGATATTTATTTCGTCACATTTTAAATTTAAAGGGGTGACGAAAGAGGGAAATTTCACGAGGAAACCAATGGAACCGCTTTCAGAACCTCAAAATTTTGTATTAACGGAGTTATAAGCGTTTAAAGTTTCCAAAGTTTGTCCGACTCCCCCTATCGGTTCGGTCCAGTGTGCGACGCTCAGGATGAAAAGAAATAAGAGAGAGAAGGAAATTTAAATAATTTTTCCCATCAATTCACCGATCGCGGGCACGACATCTGAATTTCAGATCGGTAGCACTGCACTGCCGTGCTAAGAAAAAACGCAGTATAAACATTCGAGCGTTGCCGAATTTCCTTCGATAAATGATTATTTTTAAGGAAAATAATGAATATTTTCCTTGATATTTTCAGACACTCTAGATCAAATTACGAACAAAATTACCTGAGAAATTGGCAGAAAAATATTCAAACATTTTCCTAAAAATTGGACCGCGTTTAACAGAAAGGAACCAAGCCACATCAGCTATTGCCAAATTTAACTGGGCAAGTCAATTTTTAACGAGAGAACGTTTGTAGTGATTCCTCTGAAAATTTTAAGGAATTTACTTCGTACTATGGAGAAAATTCAATGTTTGCACGACAATCCGCCCAACCGTTTTCATGTAAAAAATTAATTCGCCCAATTAAATTTGGCAATGGCTGATGTGGCTTGGTTCCTTTCTGTTTAACGCAGTCCAATTAGAGATTTGCCAGGGAAAATTTGGCAACGCCTGAAGGCTCATACGGCGTTTTTCCTTAGCACGGCAGTATAGTTGGAAAGCAGATGGAGTGAGCGGATCGGGAAACAGTTTTTCTCGAGAGAGCGAAGAAAAGTCAGAAATGGACGTATTTCTATCAAACAGAACTGTGTGCACTATGACGTGAGCCCTGTTATGCATATATTCTTGTGGGGTTTCAGGGCTCATGTCTTAATGCACATAGTTCCGTTTGGCAGAAATGCGTCCAGATGAGAAAACCCGGAGCGGAAACGGATATGCGCTGACTGGGTTGGCAGAAAAAACGCTCGAGGGAGCTCAATTGTTGGGACTTGAGAGGCTCGCTGCCGTGCTGAGGAGGAACGCCGTATGAACATTCGAGAGTTGCCAAATTTACCCGGATAAAACGTGTTTTTTTTAGTAGAGTTTTGCATGGTTTTCCTTGACACTTTCAAATATTTTAGATTCTATTGTGAACAAAATTCTCTGAAAAATCGGAGGAAAAATATTCGAATTCTTCCCAGTGAATTCGTTTTGTATTCAAGGAGATATGGCAACGCTTGAATGCTGATACGGCGTTATTCCTGAGCAGAGCAGTACTGCTCACAGCTTGAGAGGCCGGTGTTGTGGCGACAGCTTGATAGAAAAGGGCGCTGACCGACAGAGAACGAATCGCAGACGGTCGCGATGCACTCCGGAGAATATTTGAATTCTTGGTGCTTGAGTATTTACGATTAAAAACAAGTCGGATTCTTTCAGATACCGACTTTTTTTAATACCAACAAAAAATTTTTAAGGGGTTAAAGTCGAGGATCAAAGGAAAGACGCAAGAAAAGGTTCTCACTTTTGAAATTGACCCGTGGGAAATGTGGAAAATTGATTATAAGAATGTGGAAAGCCAAGGGGCGGCTGCGTGAAGACTAAGAAACCAGCAGTGCAGAAAGTTCATAAGGGTACCCTTTCACCGGCAAAACGCAAATTTTCCCTGCTCGCTATGACACAGCGCAGTCGAAGTAATTTAGACAAAAAATCAGCGCGGTTAAAGTAAATTCGACAAAAGTTAAGCGCAATTGAGGTAATTTTAACAAAGATCAGTGCGATTTAAGTAAACTTGACAAAAAAATCTGTGCGATTGAAGTAAATCAGACAAAAAATCAACGCTGTTGAAGTGATTTGAACAATTACTTCACATCGTAAATTAATGTGGGTGATACCCCCCAGATTTATTCACAGCTCACTCATTGTATTTATGATGAGACAGAAGTCAAGTATCTATATTTTGTGTCAGCACTTCATACTGGTGCCATCTGAATGCATATAGTGACATACTGAGTGGTGCTGATTTAGAGCTGGTTAGAGATTGGATTCGTCTCGACATGTGATAAGCAATCACTAAATTGGTGTAGCCACACAGTTCGTCTGGTTTGTCTACAGGTTTCAAGACTATTGCTCTGCAATGCCACTGGTCATGTAAGCATAATTTTCAAGATCCAAAAACTAGTTTATGATTCAGTTCTGCCAGAGACAAATATCTTCCGAGTTAGGGCGTCGTGAAATTGCATTTTCGTACCTGTAGTAAAATGAGTATTGAACCGTGTTGCCAATGCTAAAAAATGTCTCTTAGAAGGTAGTCCTAACTATAAAGACATGATGCTATTGTGCTCTACAAACATTCCCAATGATGAGCCAACCATAATAGAAAGTCATGAATTACGAGAGACACGAAAGGGGATTTTAACCTCAAAATCGACTGGTTTCGAAGGGTGTCCATTTCAGGGGCACTGGCTGACCAAATCACTCTGTTGATAGGGCCAGGAAACTAGAACGATGTAAAAGCCAATAAATTACTTAAATTATGAACAATTTAAGCATTACAAGGCATTCATGTTGGGCTGGCATGTAAAACATAAATGTCCTGTGGGGGGTAGCCACCCTCACATGGGGCGCAAAAATGCCGCAGATCAGAGCAGGATCTCAGAGCTTACGAGTATCACATAAAATACGTGCAGACTTACCAAAATTTAACTGATGTGACTGCCGATCCAGGAATCAACGCCTTCAGAACATAACTCCTTGAATTATACACTACCGATGATGCACTAGTAGACCGAAACAAGCCTCTCAGTCGACTTGAGACTGAAGAAGCGGTATACAACAATTTGTTTAACACATCAAATTTTGGACGTCGATTTCACAGCACAGTACCACTGAATCCGCGAAAGTTTTCACTTATGGCAGGGCATCCGAACGAAAACATTGATTGATTGATAAGCGAAACGCGCACCGAGTCTTCGAGCAACGGACGAGATCACGAGCTCGTGGTCCAAAAATTGCTCTCACTAATTTTGCACTAAAATTTTGCACGTCGATCTCACGGCAAAGTACCACTGAGACTGAACCCGCGGAAGATTTCACTTGAAGCAGGGCACTCGAACAAAAACATTGATTGATAAGCGAACGCACGCAACGGACGCGATCACAACAAGCTCGCGGTTCAAAACTTGCTCTCACTAAATCTTTAGACTAACCTATTTCTTTTCACCTGAAAACCAGCTTCTTGTACTGTAATTATCAGGGGCCTTTGCTTCTCCCGGGCGTGGATTTTCGTCATACATTCTCCGAGAAAGATCTGTTTGTTAAAGACATAATTGTAAATTAACCTCTCAATGTCCAAACAAAACACAAGCACGAGAAGAGATAAGAGACGCGCGAAGCACAAGCAAGCGAGGGGATCTATGAGAAGACTGCCATGCGATTCGTCAACCCGCAGCCAGCGTTTGCTACTCCTGCAACCTGATTGGTTCAACGATATCGCAGCTGGCGCGCTTGAAAGCTCATATTTTGATCATGGTCTGCTACCTAGCGGTGAATATTGAAAGTAATATTCATGGCGGCAAATTCAATTTTGCGGACTTGAAATACTTGCGCGCAAAACCACATCGCTTTGAACTTTGGTATGTATTCTAAAAGCGATGTCTCTTTTCTATTTTTACGAATTAATAAAATTGTGATTATGATCTTAGATAATATATGTAGCAATCTCTCTCAGATATATACATTTATCTGCGTAGAAATTGTCTCTAAATGTTTGCTGATTTGGTAATAATTGTCCTATTAAAGAAAAGAAGGAATGGATTGAATATTTGCATAGACCTCTACTAGGACGTTCAAGATTTTCACGGCCTGTTCAATTTTGCATGTATAGATTGATGAAAAATCTATTGGCCATTTGAATTAAGTTTTTGAGTAATATGAAGAAAATAATTCGTGTTTTCCTTAAACAAGTTCTCTCAATTTGCTGACCATTTTGAAATGTTGCAATGTACTTAGGTACACCTTCATACCTAAAAACAATGTATTCAATTATGATTGATCTATTCATATTCGATGTGATATATCACAAAAAATGCTTTAGTAAAAAATGTGTATCTCTGATTGCAATGTTGCAAGTCTTACTTGAATATCATGTTTTAAAAATAAAGTTAAGTGCATAGTAGTTTTTTTTTTTTTTTTTAAAAAAAAAGTTTTGTGGCTTTTTTGTTTTAAGATTGTAGTTATTCGAAATAGTTCCCTGAAAATTTGATAGAGATAAAAGAAATGATCCAGAAAAAGAGAGATCATCCTTTTGAAAAAAAAAAATTAAACATGATTGGACAGTTTTAAACTTTGCTAGTGGAGATGCACATTTTTCACATTTGGCTCTCAAGAAGCAATGTAATGCAAGTGGGAATGGACTTGTGCTTTAGCGATGTTATTCAGTGTTTTTAAAGGAAGTATTTTTGACAATAATTTTTTGCTCTTTCAAGCATCTTTTTAATAGCTCTCTTGACCTCACTTACACTTAACATCCTTCTTGTTATTCATTTTTACCTATATTTCTTTTTTCCTTTGTTTATTGAGGAAATATGACTTTTGCAACCAAAATAAAATAAGAACCAAGTTCTGAAAGGAAGTTCCATCAAAGTTTTATTTCAACTAAAAAGAGTGATAAAAAAATAAAATAATATAAAATTAATGATGAGAAGAAGAAATAATTTTGCAAACATTATCACCTCTTCATCACGGAAAATTACACGACCAAATCGTAAGCAAATTAGGGAGATACCAAGTATGCAGGTGATATACATACCTTATGCCTTATGCAGTATAATGTATGTGTATGACTAGAATATTTATTTTAACAAAAATGAACAAGAACCCCAGAATGTTCAAGTCACTCGAGAAAATCATATTTCGATTTTGAAAGGAATATATTTTTTTTTTATCTTTTGAAAGGGAGAAAAGGATCTGGATGGGTTTCAACACATGTATCAAAAAACAAAGGTACCAGATCACTCTCAAAAATAAAATTAGGTACGTTTACAATTAAATTTTCACAAAATTGATTGCTTCTTGCGGTCAAGTCAAGAACTTGAAGCAGAAACAAAAAAGCATGTTATTATTTTGAAATTATTAGATTCTACACCATCATCTAAAAGACACGATAAATTTGAAAGAATAGTTAGGATACTTCCTTGGGATAATACGAAAATTGAAAAGTGAAAGTTGAACCTTTCAAAAAATATTATTTTTACAGAAATAACGAATCACCTTGTTAAGAAACAATCAGTGAAACCCAGCCATGAATGATCCTGTTAAAATTTATTATTCAAGACTCTTCAAGGCGGAGCTTTTACTCAGTTGAAACTTCAGATTCCAAGGGGAATTTTTTTCTCTTTTTTTAAAATATTTTTATTGATTAAAATTTGAATAATTAAATTTATGAGTGATCATTTTTAGATTATTCATTAGTTATGTATCTTAACAGGTCATGAATATATCAATAAATAAATAATAAACCTAAATTTTGGAGACTCTTAATTTACAACTCTACCGAGACAACAACCAATAATTTTCTTAAAATAGATAGGTACTCCTTTTCATGAACAGCAAATTAAACTATGGAAACAGTGATAACTTTATCATATATAGTTGGTTTATTTTATTTATAAACACAATTGAGAATACTTGGTAGAATAAAAGAATAAAATTTGGTTAGCACCGATAAAAAAAGACGGGTAATAACTAGAGAGAGTTTCTGATTTTCAAGACAGGGCAATTATTCTTGGAGACATGGTGCATCGGAACATCTTCTTCGAAGAATGCCTTGTTTTTTTTCCACGAATTCAGGAGGAATGACTCGGGAGAGACCATATACAATACTAAAATTTCATAACTTATAACAGTAATCTACAACATTTATACTGGCTGAAAACCTGATGAATTGAAAATTTTAAAAACATTTTGAATTTTTAGAGAGAAATATTTATCTAACAATAAAATTAACTGCAATTTACTGTCTTTAGACACTTACTTAAAATCTACATTTGTGTTTTGGTGTTTCCTTTTTTTCTTCGAAGTTTTGGGAAAAATCTGTTCTTTAATCTTCGACTTTACAGGTATTCTTTAGTTTCTATGAAAGACAACACAGAAAAGGGAGAAATTTTTGAGTAAAAAGTTTCAACTCCATTGTAGGTTGCTGAATGATAATTGGTATGAGGTTGTATTTTAGAAGGATCTTACTGCCATTTCAAGACATTTTTCCCTCTTAATCTATAATATTAGAATACACCAAAAATAATGTGTCAATTAAAGCTTTGCTCCTTTCAATCATTAACTTTCGATGGAAAGTAAAATGGTCTTGTGAGTAAAAAAAAGTATAGTAGTTGGACGGCTTTCACCAAAATAAACTTACTTACTACTTGTAGAACCTGCCGCCAATTGTAGGGAATGTAGAAAGTCAAAGAAGGAAAAGATGGAGAGGGACTTTAAAGTTAGTATTGGAATGAAATAAAAATCACATTAGTTGTTAAAAATTCTTTCACCATTATTCTAATATTACAAAATTATGAAAATCACTCTACTTAAGAATTGGTCAATTCAGTGAGGAGTCATTCTCAGTAGTTGCATTGTTGTGAAATGAAATCATTGCATTCAATTAGGGAACGAGACATCATTTAAAAGAGGAGGAACTAAAGTGGACATTGTAGTGCTTATAATGCACGTTCTCAAATAGCTCCCTTCACAGATGTATCTCTACCATTATATGATGTCCTATTAAAAATAGATAAGTACTTACCTACTAAGAAATAACATTTACCCGCTTTCACAGCTCTCTCCTTAAACATTTCACACTTGGTGAAATTAAACAAATTAAAAATGAGATGTAAAATTTGATGTCTTCGATAAGAACAAGTGCCTGTGAAGTCCATTCCCTTGCAATTAGTGTAGAACTTTTTACAAAGAACAAAGTATTCTGACCCGCAATCTGCATATAGTTTGAGTATTAATATTTTGACATCAGTGAATATTCATGATCTATAATGAGAATGAGTGAAGGGGATAGTGGAAGTAATATAGTGCAACAAATGAATTAGGAGAAGAGGGGAAGTTGTTTTTATTCTGGCAACTGAATATAATTTATCATTCGGTTAGCAATTACTTTAATTAGGTATGTTAGATTTTTCAAGAAAAACATCTTTATTCTTTCCTTCAATTATTTAAACATCATTAAAAATTCTATAAGATAAGTTAGTACCTTAAATGATAATGAGACCATATTTAGAACAAAAGTTTTGGAAGAATAAGCAGGTAGGTAGGTACAGTAAAACCTCGCTAAGTCGGTTTCCGGATAAGCCGGTAACCCGCTTTAGTCGGTAGAATCGCCCGGTCCCGTTTATCACCCATATAACACAATGCTTAATAAGTCTCGGTATCTCGGTTTGGTCAGATTCTGAACCCGCTTAACTCGGCGAAATTTTTCCATCTCGACCTGTTTTTCTTCGATCGTCACCCNCAAAAGTTTTGGAAGAATAAGCAGGTAGGTAGGTATATGATTAAATTAAATCGTATTTTAAATATATTGAAAGAGATCCAATAATTTTACGTTTTTTAATTGACTTTTAACAGGTTTATTAAACGTGGAGAAGCTACATAATTGTCTGAAACACCTTCACCATTTTGTTGGTAATGTTGGTATGCAACTATGCTGGAGGAGTGGGTATCTTTTTAATAATATATAATTAGGTTTTTTTTTTTTTTTTTTAGAAATACCTACGTAGGAAAGGTTTTGGAGACGTATAACGTTGTTACAATCTTTGGGCAAAAGTTCTTCATACCCATTTCCCATGGAAAGTTAGCTCCATCCACAATTGAATCAGCTCGTATGAAAACATCTGATAATTCATTTTTATATTTGCCTGGGCGATTTCATGGTAATAATTTTACAGAGAAAATTGGTTTGAGACGTTAGAAATGTAGAATAATTGTATCAAAAGTCCCCCAAATATAATTAGATGTTTACTGAGGAGATCAATCTCATTAATCTGTGCCGTGGGGCGAGACAATTAAACCACTGCAATGCTGAAGCATTGTTGGACATCGGATGTTTTTGCATGTCCCTTGAGCCTATTCAATTAACTTTTCTTCAATAGTAAATCCAATATGAGGTAGGTAGACTTTCAATTCAATTAAGCCATACTTTTTGGTTTCAAAATTCCTCCCCTAATAATTTGATATCCATCTCATATAATTATGTACTCCATTTCCTTACTTCTAATGGGATGATTTATATCAAATCTCCATACCCGCAGACAGGGTGCAAAACATTTAGGTCTGATATTACAAAAGGTAAATTCGATTACATTGTAATAAAAAAATTATGCTGATCTGATTCCAATTGGTCCAGGTGAACGGAATATTGACCGGTGAGTAAGAATTCAAAATACCAATACCTATTGAAATTTTCATGCATGAGACGTGTAGATAGAATAGTGGCTGCATGTTAATAATTCTACAAGATCTAATGTGTTTGAATAAAAGATGTTATGCATTCAAGGTAATATTGACAATCTTTAGAGATGGGTCTACTCGTTGGGGGCCTGTTTCGTTTCGTCTATTTTGATTGAAGCCTCCTCGGGTTTTGGGAGATCAGTAATCGGCTCGTCGTTGAACAAGGGATTCTTCACCTCCATTTCACCAGCCTGCAACATAAAATAAATTAATTATTGATGACGATTATACATTTTCTAAAACATTTTAAACTATAGAAATTGCATGACAGTGTGCCTCTCAGTCTATCAAAAGTTAGAGGTATATAATTCATGCTCTAAAAATCGTTCTTGCTTGCAGTCCACGTAAAAAGTCTTAAGGTACGTAGGTAAACTTATTTGCCGTGAACTCTACACGGAGATCCTTTTCAAATTGTTGATAATTCTGCCCAAATAACGCTAAAAGTCTGTCTTTGAATGAATGAAAAGCATAAAGTAATTTGCCCTCAGAAAACTGAAATTTGAAGTTGTTACTTCAGGTGACTTCAGGATTACAGTAGAAATTACTGTAAAGCTGTAAAGACAAAGCAAGCTGTGTGGCGTTGTGGTCGCAATGAAATGGGCAACAAATGCGGGCCCGCGCGCCCGCGTGTTACCAGTATCGCAAACCAAGATAGAGCGCCTTCAACGTCTTGCACATGCAACACGGACATCCACAGACCACGAATAGTTGCATCCAACTCCTGGCCTCCCAAAGTTGAAGGAGGGAGATGGGCATTATTATCGACTCAAACAGGAGAGTTAATTTGAATTTTGGCATATCTATGGCTAAAGTCGAAAACTACGTGTCTCCATTGCAACGTTTTACTATTCCTAATCATGTTTCATTTATTTAAAAAGGAAGTAACTAAAATATTCCTTTGAAATTTTCTGTTAATATATTTAAATGAGTATAGAAAATTTACAGGAAATTGATAGGAAAAATGTTCACCGATTTTCTTCAAAAATAAGAAGGAAAACAAGGAGGAGAAGAAAAAAAAGAAGAAAAATAAGAATAAGGAGAAGCATGATTGGAGACTTGCAACGTCCTAATCGGAGATATGGATGTTTCGATCAATCTACAGAGATCTAGAGAACAACTGTTGCAAGCCGAAAAATTACTGCTGAGAAGTTATGAATAAAATAAGTTTGTGTGGACCTCCGCTCCGAGCAACCGGTAATTCTAAAATTTTTGTGGTGCTTTGCGTCCCAAGTTGGAAAAGTTATACTATTTTGAAAACTGCTGTGCGTTTTCTATCCATACTTTCCGCAATTTTTTCGCACCTACATTAAAGGTTACGTATGCAAAAAAAAAAATAAATAAATAAATAAAAAAATAAAATTCAAGAAAAAAATCATTTAAATAATACTCGTACGAAAATACTGACCACAGCAAGTCCTGGACACTCATAGACGGTGTAATCGCCTTCTTCGTCGCTCTCTGCTTCTGATACGGAGCCCCTTCTCGCTTCATTGCATGATCGCCCACTGGAAATAAGATAATTAAAGGTTTAAAAATAAGGACACATTTAGTGCATTGTTCAGGAGGGTACGGATTCGATCGACATAAATCGATCGACACCGATTCGATCGACATGAATCGATCGACACCGATTCGATCGACAAATTATTAAAAAACCAATGTTGATTTGATCGAAATACAAGAACGGAGTCAATCGGCGTGAATCAATCGACACCGATTCGATCGACAGTTAATTTAAAAAAAACCCGTGTCGATTCGGTCGACATGAATCGATCAAAAAATGAAAACGTGAATTGATCGACGTGAACCAATAGACACCGAGTCGATCGACAAACGTGAATCGATCGACAAACCCGGGAGTCGATCGACAAACCCGGGAGTCGATCGACAAGCCCGTGAATCGATCGACAAACCCGTGAATCGATCGACAAACCCGTGAATCGATCGAATTTGTCGATCGATTCATTTTGATCGAATCGGTCTCGATCGGTTCATGTCTGTCGATTCACGTTTTCAATTGTCAATCGATGCATGTCGATCGAATCCATACCCTCCCATTGTTCATCGGTCCTTCCATAATTAAAACTATAGGAAAGATATGTATCGTTCTTGTCATTACAATATTCTACATGCAGCCTTGATCCTGTTCCTTGCGACTTTTTTTATGTGTAAAATTTAAAAAGCCATCTCGCTGATAAAATATTCTCCTTGGAAGATAGTCCCAAAGAGGCTGACTCAAGAACAGAACTGGAAAACACTTCGTTTACGTGAGAAAAAAACTTGCCCGACGTAGAAAACGCTTCGTCGCTGACGTTATAGATGGAGGCCACGTTAAAAATTAACACATTATTTGAGAGGTAATTTAATGTGCTTTTTAGTTTTGTATCAAATCTGTCACCGTCAGTGTGAATATTTAGAAGTATGTGTTGTTTTTAGTTCAACCTTCGTACTTCAAGTTTAATTTTAAACTGAGCTTTTAAAAGCAGGTCCACGGTTCGCAACCATTACGTCTACGTTAAGGGCGCTAAAAACTGTAAACACCCGCACGCCTCACTTCTGGGATAAGGGAAAACAGCAAATGCACTCATTTCGCCTTCAATTAACGAGGATACCAGGAAGCACCCACGTGCCGGAATAATTGCATCTCTCGCCTGCGCTCGTGTTTGCCTCTAATGAGACGAAAATGAGCATTTAAGGTCGCTCATTACGTCGCCCCTCTGACGTAAGGGCGTATATCAATTTCCACGTGAGCCGTGTTTTACATATAAATCCATGCTCTCTGGGGCTCATGCGGAATTCGAGATACGCCCTTTCGTCGGAGAAGCGACGATTAATGACGTTTCACATTACCGAAGAGAGAATCTGTGCCTCCGTGAGAGCAATGAAATTTTAAGGGATGAAATTTCTGTTTATTGAAAAATTTCATGGAATTTTCGGGCGCTGAGTATGTTACCCGCAACGAAGAACTGGGAATCCGACATAAGACTTTGAGGAATAACTCGTGATCATTTGTATTTTATTTTCCTATTCATTTTTTTTCTTCAAGATGTCAAAATTGAGTTTTCACTAGACAAAACCGTTTCATGACTGCCTCAGTATATTATAAGAGTATCAAAATATTGAATGAAATTCCACTCATGCAGGTATTCATTTTAATAAATTGTGATTTTAAACCATTTTGTGACATTTTACATCGTCGGTGACGGGGAACCACGCAGAATCGTCGCCAAATGTCGGTATTTTCAAAAGCTCCTCGGCAGTTTTGGTAAGAACAGGAAATTAATAAAAAATCACACCCCAGACGGGATTACTCAAAAACGACTTTTACAATTTCTTCGAAAGTTTCTTTAGACTATTTGATATATGGCACTTCCTGTGGTTAAAAAAGATCCCAGTTTATTATACTCTATATTACTAGTCAGAAAATGCACGCATCGACATTCGTTTATGCGTATTGCAATCGATTTTATTGATAAGTCAGAGTTAAAATTTACATACAATTGAAGAGGAAAATAAAAACAAATCCTTCCATCTAAGAAAACATAAAGTTGAAGAGGAAGGGAAAACAAACAAAAAAATTATTCTATCGCGATGCAGTCGGGCTGATTAGAGAGGAGAATGCAAATTCCTTCTCAATCTTCTCTGTGCGATATGCAGATACAGAGAATACAACTATTACCACTCCTGAGTAGCCGCTTTTGCCTATCTTCTCAATTGAAGGCAAATCTAGTGGCTTCCGCGGACATGCAGTAAAACAGGTAGGTAGCTTACGCTCAAAAGTTTCCATCTCCTATCATTATTCATTTGCAAGTTCATCGATGGTGAAACGCGAATACACACTCTCAATTTGCGACGTTGCAAATTTCCTGCAACCTTGATTTTCATACTAACAAATCAGCCGTTTTTAATTCGTAGCAATTTGCAGGACTTTTACGACTATATCTAAAAATATTCACCAATAATATTTGTAAAATTGCTTTTAAGGTGATTCGATGGACGCGGTGATTTTGTGTCAAAACGATGTGCGATATATCGCATCGATCGGTTCCATTTTTTCAGCCACTCGTCATTTTTCTCGAATTTTGAGATCGCAATTCTGTTGTCAGGAAACTGAAGAATTCACTTACCAATTTTGACGAACAAATTCAACATAATATAGGCGTGCTTATTTAAAGAAGGAATTATCGCATTCGAGTGCAGTTTCGATATCAGTATCGAATGCGATATTTTTCCTCTAAAAAAAACCACGCCTTTATTAAGTTGCATTTGTTTGTCAAAATTGGTAAGTGAATTATTTAGTCTCCTGACAACATACACTGAAAAAAATAGTTCTGTTCAGAGGGCTCCTGCACTCCTTTTGCACAGTCACAGAAGCTTCCGTTATAAGGACAGAGTACTCTGTTCCCACGACCGAAGTTCTGTTTTCACGACAGAAAAAATCTGTAAGTGTAACAAAGAAACTGCAGGAGCCCTGTGAACAGAGGGTTCTGTCGTTAGCACCATCTATTGTTTTGTTTTATGTGTAATTGCGATATGACAATTAAAAAAAAAATGACAAGTAGCAGAGAAAATGGAACTAATCAATGCGATATATTGCATGTTGTTTTGACACAAAATCACCGCGTCCATCGAATCACCTTAAAAGCAAATTTACAAATATTATTGGTGAATATTTTCAGATACAGTCCAAAAAATATCGTGCAAATTGCCACGGATTAAAAACGGCTGATCTGTGAAAATGAAAATGAAAGTTGCAGAAAATTTGCAACGTCGCAAATTGAGAGTGTGTATTCTCGTTTCACCATCGATGAACTTGCAAATGTATAATGATAGGAGATGGAAACTGTTGAGCGTAAGCTACCTACCTGTTGTACTGTCCGCGAAAGCCACTAGATTTGCCTTCAATTGAGAAGATAGGCAAAAGCGGCTACTCAGGAGTGGTAGTAGTTGTATCCTCTGTTTTTGCATATCGCACAGAAGATTGAGAAGGAATTTGCATTTTCCTCTCTAATCAGCCCGACTTGCCCGACTGCATCGCGATAGAATAATTTTTTCTGAATTTTAGCTAAGAAAATGGAACTAATCGATGCGATACATCGCATGTCGCTCTGCCACAAAATATAACGTCCGTCGAATCGCACCTTAAAAAATGTATGAAGAGTGGACATTTTGAATCCCCGCAATCAAGACGAGTCTTCCTTGCGTTTTAACATCGATTCGGAGAGAAATCGAGGATTTATACTTACTTCTCCATAGCAATGATTTGCTGTTTTTGATGCTGATAGTGGTACATCTGAGCGGAGTGGGCAAGCCGCCTGTCGCCCGTGGGGGATGAGTCCTTGTGTGGTCCCGTCACTCCATACGCGGGATAATCCACGTCAGCTGCCGCCTTCACTCGTTTCTGCAATCTGGAACACCATGACAACACGATTAACCTCACTTATATTGGTATTAGATCGTCACTCCTGGTCCCTACACGGTCCAACCCCGGACGAGGAAGTGGCGCACAGTGGATCGAGTCAATAGGAGAGGTCGGACAAACTCTGGAAACTTTAAACGCCTACAACTCCGTTTATACAGCATTTTGAGGTTCCAAAAGTGGCTCCATTAGTTTCCTCGTGAAATTTTCTTCCAGAAGCACCCCTGAACATTTAAAACGTGACGAAATAAACACCAACATTCTCAGTTTTAGTCAAAAATTTCATGTCCGACCTCTCTAATTGACTCGATCGACTGTGCGGCATTAAAATGCCTACGTCATGATAGACCATTACAAGTCGAAACAAAAAATATAATCATACACCGAAAAAAAGTTACGGGCTGTATAGACATACCGTCTGTTCCGGGCTCAGAGGCCGAAAGTTCCGGGTTCTGGAGCTGTAACTTCGACCGTTCCGGATGCGACGCACGGAACTTTCGGCCTCTAAGCCCAGAACGTGGTGGGCGGTATGTCGATACAGCTCGTAAGTGCAGCTTCCACGGCCGGAGTTTTTTTTTCAGTGTGTGAACAGTTAAGAATTTGGAGTAAAATGGGTCAGTTTCGTTACTCATAGAATCGTGTTTTGATGCTTGATTCTTGCAGAATAGCTAAGAAAAACAGCAACTTTCTACAAGCACATTTTTAATTGACAATTTTGTCGGTCAGACCAATGCAGGTCTTTACTTTAATGTAAAACACAAACAGAAAAAAAGAGAACAAAAATTATAGGGGAGGTTTTTCAAATACTGATGGAAGTAATATAGGTACCTATAACTTTAAAGACTTAAAAGTCACGATCCTTGCTTTAACGCAATGCTGCTTACGAAGATTTCTTTGAATACCTCACGTAAAGTAAGAAATAGAAAACAAACGCGAAAAATATGATATTGCACAAAAGTAGGAAGCACAAAAGTATGTGTTGCGATCTGCTCATTATTTATACATTTTAGAAATATAGCACTTAGTTCTATAACGTCGATCTCGTTCGAAAAATTTTACACGATACGGAGAGAAAACACTTTTCCCATCACTATCCGTTCCCTGACTAAATGATAATTTAGGAGCTGATGTATTGAGACATTACGGTCACTTTCCGGTCAGCTCCCTAAAAAGAGGCGAAAGTGTCAATGGCGAAAAGTACTTTTAATAAGGATGAACAGGTTAAACGCTGCGACTATTCTGCCGTGCTAAGGGAAAACGCCGTATGAACCTTCGTACGTTGCCAAAATTCCTCCAATAAAAACCGAATTTACTGAGAAAATTGTGCATACTTGTTTCCATAACTTTCACACAATGTTTTACGCAATTTAATCTAAAATATCTGAAAACTTCAAGGAAAAATATGCATAAATTTCGTCAAAAATACATGTTTTATCGGAGGAAATTTGGCAACTCTCGAATACTCATACGGTGTTTTTCCTTAGCACGGCAGTATACGGTATAATTTGCGGTGCCAAAAAGAAAAAAGTACACTTTATCCTTTCATGAATGTCAATCACAATTGAGACCGATTGAAGGAATTATACACCTCGTTAAAGGCGGCCTCAAGCACACTTGAAAACACCCTGAGCTTGAAGTTAAAAGCCGAAAATATCGGCGTCCCAAAGACGTAAGGGCGTGCCTCCATGTTGGTGTGAGCCTTGGAAAACATAGGGGTATATGGGAAATAGGGATCATGCCATAATAAAGATACAACCTCACGTGGGGGCGGCGATATGTACATAAAAAGGGGTCACTAACCAGAGAACCACGGGGGGAAAGGCGGGGGTGTTTTAAAGAATGAAGAGGGAGTTTTCCCTCCCACCGGGTGCGGTTTTCCTCCAAAATAAAAACATGCCTCCCGTGGGAAGGTAATAATTACTTTCATTAATGGACCTCGAGGCAGGGTGGGAATTTAAGCACCGTAGGACGTGTTTTCGGACCGAAATTTCATATAAAACACATTTAAGATACTAAAAATACTCAAAATCAACATTTGAGAGAGATATTAGCGTTTATTGTTCTGTTAGGGTTAGGGAATTCAAACTTCCCGCTCGCGAAAACAACCTAAATCGACCACATTTCAATCGGTTGTTTTCAAAAGGGAACAAGTCCATTTTTGCATGAGCCTTGACCTGCATTAAAAGACATGCTAACTAAGAGTCATCGAGGAATGGTCCTGTTCCCCTTTGAAAATAACTTGTTCATTTTTCATAGAACACCTCACTTTTGTATGTGACGAGGGTTCAGTGACTCAAATGGACTTAATTTTGCAATTAGGAACTACAATTTCTAGTTTACCGTTAACAACACTTGTGTACGCAGGGAAACTAATGGTACGTACGTTGTATTTAACAATAAACTAAGCCAGAAATTTTAGTCCGAATGGCACAATGTAGTCAAAATTTGAGTTTTTTTAAACCAAGGATCCTCTTCCCATGGACTGTGATAAAAGATGTGGATGATATTTTCCTAATTACTTTTGATTCGTGTTCAGGTTTATTTTTGGACACTTTTAGGGTTGTCCATAATACAATGGTCTACAAGAAAATAAAATAAAATTAAGGAGAAAAATGTGACAAAAACGTACCCAAAAACGGTTTGCAGGAAGTGAGTCTGTGGTAGGTGCTGACTTAATATCGCGAAAAATCAAAATCTTGGCTGATCCTAATTTCGAGATATCGCAATTTGAAATTTCAATAATAAATGCAAGTTTTCTACTCATTTTGATCCGCTTTTTTTATTTATTTGTTCATTGAATCGGTGTTGGTCGGTTCACGTTTTTTATTTTCGTTCGATTCATGTAAATCGAATATACCATCTCGTTACATGCAGACGACCCATCACACTCTTTTTTTTAACCGAATAATTCGCCTTCTGCAGCGTCTGCAGCAATTGTTGTTATGAATATGTTGTGCGTACTGATTTCAGCTCATTACATACTTGACTCTCTGAAGGCGTTTAATGTGCGAAAGTAGAGCACCCTGTTGGAAAACAACAGAAGTGAGATTGAACGAATTTCTCAATGCCTACTTCGTTCATTATCCGACAGACTGCACTACTTGCGCACATAAAACGCCTTCAAAGAGGCGAGTATTTAATGAGCAAAAATTAGCACGCACAACATATTCATAACAACAATTGCTGCAGACGCAGCAGAAGGCGAATTTTTCAGTTTAAAAAAAGAGGATGATAGGTGGATTGCATTCAGCGAAAAGGAACCAGCGCGATTGCAGTGTTGTAAAAAAGTTGCTTCTTTATAATTTTTTAAAAAAAATCTCCAAGAAAAGCAAATAGTATCTGATTCCCACCAAAAAATTCCTAATTTCAAAGGAAAATAATTGTGTGAATTTTAATACTTTGCATATATTGAGTATTTTTAAAAGCTGGTGGCCGTTGTCGTCCCAGTATTCGGCGGGCCCCTTTCATGGGGGCGGGGGGCGTTTCGGTGACCCTCATGATGGGGGCACTGTAGCAAATTTTTCCCCGAATCCAAAAAAAAAGAAAAGAAAAGAAAAAACTGAAAGTCTTGGAATGGGTACGTACAGTTCTTGTTTCATGGTGCTCAGGTTGTCTTGAAGATAATCCTTCATGCCATTAAACATGATTGATTTGATATCGAGAATATTATTTCAGGATTTCACCAAATTATGAACTAATAAATAAGGCGACTAGGAACACTGTTTGACTCTACAACGGAAGAAAAGACGCACTAATTTCGCGTAAGGCATTGCAGAATCTCAACGGAATAATTGTGGTGGCTGTTGTTTTATGACACTGACAGATCGCAAATTAGTAAATATACCGAAAAACTTAACGAGTTTTTTTTTCGTCAATTTAAATCACACTTGTCTCGAACACGAATGACTTGATTCATATATTTTAAAGCGGGTTAGAGGATAACTCCGCGGAATGGAAAGCAGTGCGCTAGTGCACCGTCATGAGAGACAGAAGAGAGACTATGATGAAATACCACTTGTTCTTGACACAGCTGACTTGATTCCAGAATCGTAAAACGTCAAATAAATTTTGATCGCACAGCCACTTGGCTCACACACGGTCCTATTGGAGTCTCAGAACTTTCCCGAAAAAACTTATTGTGGTGATCTTGAGCACACCCGACTTGAATTAAATTTAGGTACCCGATAAAAAAGGAAATATGTGTTTTACTTCTGTCGGTTTGAGCCGGCTGAGCAGACTTTCCTCAGAGTTTCGTTAAAACGCCGGGGGAAGAAATTAGAGGCACTGGTATCAATGCGAATTAAGAGTTTTCTCAACTTTAAGCCGCAATTTGGAGACGGATTAATCAAATGCCAACATCAAATGCCACGCACTTAGTAATTGAAGACCGCAATGGGACCAGGAAATTAATTGCTAAATGAATACCCGATAGGAGAGAAAAGCCGATACACTAACGTTTTCCACTTAAAACCGCTATTGAAATGGTCTCAAAGTCAATGCGACTGCAGGCACCAATAAATCAATAAAATTTATAACCGGAAAAGAGAATCAGTATAGATACAGTGATGTGAATGAGCAATTAGATTATTCTTCATTTAAAAACCCAATTAAATAGATCTAAGTACCCTGTACCAAAGTCATTAGGTGATTCACTACCGCACGCAGGGACAATTTTTTTTCAAAATCAAACCAAACGAATTATTTATTCGTACAACATTTTATGCAGCCATAGACCTGGCATAGAAATTTCGATTCAGTTAGGGGCTTCTCAATCGACCATTGATTAAAGTAATTAAAATTTTACTGTTCTTTGAAGGGTTTGTTCGGAAGTTACAATTGGTCGATATTTAATTTTCTGATGGGATGAAGAACGCGATTGACCGAGGTCTTGGAGCACGACTGAAGACTGCGGTTCTGCTGTTGTAAGGAAGAAGTGTCGGGGCTTGGGGCGCAATTGAGTATGTCGGTCGGTATGCCAACTATGTCATG